GTGTTCCAGCGGGTAGCTGGTGCTGTTTTAAACTTTCATACAGCGACTCCCTCTGAAAGAAAATTAAGCGTGACACTATTTTCGAGTATCATCAAAAAATCGAAATTTCTGGAATTTTTGCACATTTTGAAATTAGACAGTCTTGAAATAAGGCATGCGAAGCGGAAGTCTTTTGCATTTTGGGAGACAAAAAAAAAAGCAAAAATAAAAAACAAATAATTACTTAAAATGAGAATAAATGAAAAATTGCCTAAAGAAGTATGAATAATACAATTACCTAAAAAAGAGGTAAACAGCTAAGAAAAATGCCGTTTTTGCCCCTTTTTACCGAAATCGATGTAGAACGACAGCTAAATTCACACAAAAACACATGACCACACCTTATTCTTTCAATTTCGGTACAAAATTTACGGATACAAGGGGGTGCTGACGAGGAGCACTGTAAATTAATAAATGTTTGTCGGTCTCTGAGGAATACTGATGAAGTTATAGTGAAATCTACATTGCTCTACTGAACTGAATCAGACGACAAAAAACCTCATAAACAGTAAAGCTCCTAGTCAACGGATTACCTCACTGCGATCTCGAAATGACTACATTCTTTAATACGAGTCTCACGCAAGGATGCGTGAAAATTTTGACGTGGAAGTTGCTAAATTAGGAACCAGAAAAGCTAGAAAGCTGAAATTTTAAAAAGTTCTCCGCCCATGTACAACTTGAAGATTATTTCAAATCCAGTCTCCCCCCTCGTCGATATGAGGCAAATATCATGGACATTTCGAAACGGCTACAGCCGCCTTGCCAAATATTTTTGTTAGGAAAAACCTTGAGACAGCGATTCCTTCAAAATAGATGGTCAGAAGGTTAGGGAAAGGTGAAGTAGCACCGATCAAAGCAATTAGAAAAGTTACCATCCGCACTGCTAGGAAACAGGCCATGAATTAAAAGATGCCCAAGTACTCCGAAAGAAAGTTATAATAAGAAGGAATGAAATAAAGAGAAAAAATAGAGGGAAAAAGAAGGTAAGAAATGAAAATTAGAAAATTTTTGCGTTTATTATAATGGT